TGTGTGTGTGTGTGTGTGTGTGTGTGTGTGTGTGTGTGTGTATATGTATATATATATATATATATATATATGAAGAAAGACTGAATGCAGCTACAGGACATCTCCACACGACTGTAGACGCAGAACACAGTGAATGGTCAACCATGTAGGTTGTAAGGGTAGAATGGGTATCAAAATACTTTTAAAACAGTAGTGGTTTGGCTGACGAAAAATTGTTGTTGTTTGTCAGATTTTTTTCAGAAAAAATATGAAGCGACGGGGCAAAATAAAAAAGAACAAGGCACCCCATGATAGCCAGAAATGTTACAATATGAGCCATGAAGTCAACATATCAGGCTCGATGATAATTAAAACAATAGATGAACTTTCAAACAATAGTGAACTTTCAAAGAAACAATGTTGCATTGCTACATTGTGGGAAAAACTAGGGAAGAACTTTCTTAAAATGTTGTAGTGGGCCAAAATATGTCTTTCATTGAGCATTTTGCAGTTGATTCAGAAGCTAAAATCTTTTTTTGTGTGTGTGCAAATCGAAAAAAATGGACAGGGCTTCAATCCGAGAAACAACAAATTAAATTGGTATGGCCTTAGCACTCCTTCCCATTCAAATGTGTCAAATGCTGTCACCACTCTTAATGACTTTGGCCCTGTTCATATGAAGTCAGTGGAGGCGCTTTTTCCCCTGAAGCCCCATCAAATGGCCCCATCTGAACGCTCCAAATCACATTGAAAGCGCCTCGATCCCAAACCACTTCTAGAGGTGGTTTTGAATCGGTTTTCCCGCATCGCAATTTACGCAATCTGATTTCAATGTGACTTCACCTTGTCATTGCAATACGGGTGATATTTCTTTATTTATATGCAATACCAAATTTTACGTGGCAGCAACTTAAAGAGCAATGGTCAAATAATGTGTCCGTTCTAGGACGAGCTTCATCAGGCCAAGATACGCTGGGAGGGGGCACCAGCAAGCAGGTCGTTGACCTCTGACATCGATAACACGCTACCTTGCATCAAATTGATGTGTGCCTTGATATGTGTACATTGTATATGTACCAGTATATAATGGGCTGACAGAAGTACTTCCATATACTTCCATATACTGACACCTAAACTAATGACTTTTAAAGTGAATGCAGTTTCAGAGAATCGTGATCGGGGACGGTTTGAAAGGAATGTGTGGCACGTGGGCCAGATGTGAGGATGGCGAGTTACCCGAATCACGGTTTGGGTGGTTTCATATGAACAAGGCCTAAATATGACCAAAATCACAGACCTCATCAATTTGCTTTCTTCACTTTCCCACTAAACTTACTAATAAATAGAAAAAATTGTTGTACGAAAAATGCACCACAACACTAAGTTTGATTGCAATTGAAGAAATTATGGCCGCGGGTAGGATTTCTCAAAAAGCGGCTGTCACCTGAGAAGAAAGGAAAACTTTGAAAAAGAGCCTAAAACATAGTAATTTAATTACGACTGTTTCACAATACTTTGCTGCCTTGTGAAGCCATGTGCTCAGAAAGCTCTCCTCATTATTCTTGTATGTGGTGCCAGTTTCATACCTGTTGCCAAGTTTTGCCAAGTTTTACCTGTTGCCAAGTTTTGTAACCTCCATTACCGCTCAGGTAGGACGGTCGTGAAGTTTAGATAGAGCCGCATATAAGACAATAAAGTTTTCAGGGCATTTCTAAGAGAAGAAGATTATGAATTGTTTGCTGTCATTTATAGCCACCTAATGCGGAACAAAATGTTTTACAGTATCACAGTTGACTGCAACCTCCATTACAGTTGTTTATTACTTTCAATGTGAGTTACTTCACCTGGTATATTAAAAGCTGCCCATGTTTTTAAATGTCCATACCTTGAAGCTGTATGGACATAAAACTGTAGATCTTTTTGGAGAAAAAAAGGAAAAAAGTTAGTGTTGTAACCTCTATTACTGGCGGTAACAGAGTAGAGGCTACACCTGTAGCGGAAAAGACAACAATTAGGGATTAAATGGTCTTGTGCACCATGAACATATGCATCCAAAGAAAAATAACCCTCGGTGATGTCATCAGACCCAAATATTCTACCCGTCTTTGAAATTTTGCTTCCAAAGTTACGTAATTCATTTTTTTTTGCCCAGATATGTTTTTTATAGGCGGAATCAACTGTAAAGACCACCACCCTGCTGTTGTTTGGAAAGACAGGGAGTGGCAGGAGTGCCACTGGGAACACTACACTTTTAAGATATCTTCATGTGCCTTGATATGTGTACATTGTATATGTACCAGTGAGTATATAATGGGCTGACAGAAGTACTTCCATATACTTCCATATACTGACACCTAAACTAATGACTTTTAAAGTGAATTTGTCATGAATACAAGCTTTATCATACACCCAGCTCATTCTGATGTTCCATTTTTTTGCCGCACCAAAAAATTGCATTCAGATATTGTATCAATGTCCATAAATTTTCCTAAACTATAATGAGTATGAAAAGAATCCTTTTTTTGGTAATCATCAATTCAGATGTTCTGGATTCCTAAAAAATAAGGTAGGTTTGCCTGAAAAAAAAACAGTTCATTGATTTTTCGACCCTAAAAATTACTATAATTATGTACATTTCAATGAAAATGAGTAAATTGAAATGTATGAATGCCAGTGCATAGAATAAAATAATTTTTTCCTTGACATTGTGCAGGCCAATCAACATGGATGCCAGTCCCACAGGCACCACCTGGCTGTCCACCTGGCCTGGAGTACATGACCCAGATTGACCAGCTGCTGGTTAAACAGCAGGTGGAACTACTGGAAGGTAGAGTAACCTGTGTCTGTCTCCATCACTAACATATCACCAGGGGGCCTGCATACCCTTTTTCGTAAGGCATACAGTCATGTAATCATGCCTTTGTAGTCTTCGTAATCCGTAGGCAGCCTCCCGTAATTCATATTAGAGCACATTAGCCATTGGCATCTCTACTTAGTAGAGTTGAAATTTGAAATTTATTTGTTGCTCATCATTTTAGAAATGTACAACAGCAGGGGGAGCAAAAGTGCATCCCCCTGAATTAGGTACAATTTGTCACATTATTTAAAAAAAACAACGTTCACATTGAAAAATAATACATCTAAACTAACATATATACAAAAGACACATATAAAAATTATTTACAACAGATATGCACAAAGTTGCTTGGTCAGGCTATACAAGTTCCAATGTAGGGTTGGTGGTGTTAGAGCTGGTGCTAACAATTATATAAATATATATATATATAATTTCAATTTTAATTTCAATTTTATTAAGTATAGTCAACATAGCAGGGGTACATACTCCTGAATTGTGTGGACTTTACATATTATTAAGTATATCTATCTATCTATCTATCTATCTATATAGATAGATAGATAGATAGATAGATAGATATAGATAGATATAGATATAGATATACATATTATATATATTTATATATAATTGCTTGATCAATTATCTAGCATTATGGCCGCAATCACCGCCGAAATTTATTAGTTGTAAAAAGAACGGCATCATAGGATTGTGTGGCGTAACAGCAGTGTTAAATGGCTCCAAACCAAGATCATTCCCCATGTGAGTGAATCAAACCAGTTCAGTCTAAAACTGGCTTTCACTCCCAGTGAGCATTTGAGCTGGTGTCAATTCTGATGTTTTACTAAAGTGAGAAGAGAATTGCTTTGACAGTCTTTATTTCATTAACCCATCATCATGGAGTGGCTACATGACCAATGAAAAATGAAGGATACAGACACTTAGCTAAGGGACATGTTAACATCATCATTTCTGTGGCATTTATTTATTCTCTTCTTTTTTCTAGCCTTCACTGGATTT